GCCTCATTTATCTGTATGTCAAATTCTTCCTCTCTGTTTTGGAAGTTTTCTGTCATTAATTCTGTGAAGAGTTTTGTTTTGTTTTTTTAGGTCATTTGTATCTTCTCCTGCTATTTCATGTATTCCTCTCCATCTTATGTTATACTTCTTTGCATCATCTAGGAGTTGTTGGATCCATTTCTCGTGATCTCTTACTGTTTTTAAGAGATCTTTCTTTTCGTGGTCACTGACTGCAATCCTATCTTCTATATCTGAAATTCTATCTTCACATTTGTTCATTCTGCTGCGAATTATTTCAGTAGAGTTTTTAATCTCCTGGATATCTGTCTGAATCTGTTTCATGGATTCCATTTCTTTTCCTATGTTGGGCACTCATTGTTTCCATTTCGTTCCTATGCTGGGCATTCATGGCTTCTATCATGGTCCTGAGCTCATCTATTTCTCTGGGGGGGGTGGTCTGTTTCTGTTCTAGTCGCTAATCATGTCTTTCATTGTGTTCATCATCTCTGTTGTTATCTGGGAAATTAATTTTTCTAGAGCCTGAATGACCTGTTTTATTACCTCCTGTGCTATAAGTTCAGGATGTACTGGTGGTTGATTGTCAGATTTTCTGCCTCATTTTCCTTAGAGTTTGCCATTGGTGAACTGGAAGTCTGTAATTTTGCCTTTCTTAAATGTTTTCTCATTTTTATTTTTGTTGTTGGGCCATCCTTGATTGAATTCCTGGGTTACTACTTTGATCTTCCTGACACAGCTGCTCTTTAAGTTTTGAGTCTCTAATGACTCAGAGACACTCTCATTTTCATAGCATCAGAAAGGACAGCTCATTAAATCAATCACAGCCCTTTAGCCCAACTGATACAATCAGCAACACAATAGCATCTAAACAATAGTTTAGAAAATGACCATTTGTGGTATTTATTAATCTATCACCTTTAGCCATGTGAATTAAATAAAAATCAAGGACCAGCCCAAAATATGTTTATCGTGAATAAACTCTTCACTATAACAACTTTACCCTTCAGGATGGGGATTTAGAAGGAGTTGAGAGGAGAAGAATAGATAGGTAACAGAATACTGAAGGTGTCAAGTGAAGCCAGAGGACACAGGATGATCATGAAAACTCTAGGAAACTGTTGAAGCCCATAGGGAAAGACAGAGTGCAAGAATAAAGACAAGAATAGAACAACTTAACAGTAATTGGGAAGCTATAAATTGTACTCACTTTGCTTTGAAACTAATGACAATGGGGCAAAGGAAAAAGCAAGAATAGGAATTAGGGCAGGAAGAGGGACAAAAAGGGAGATGAAGAATAATGTGGGGGAGTAAGAGACTGAGTGGGAAAAAAAAGAAAGAAAAAAGGACGAATTTTCAGGATGGGGAATAAATAAAAATTTTAAAGTGAAAATTAAAAAAAGAGGAAAAGAAAATAAATTGAAGAGCCTCTTTCAGAGCATATCTCTGCTGTCACAATAGACAATGTGGGCAGCAATGTACAGAATTAAGTCAATTAGTCTCAGATAGCCAATGGCAGACCGCTGAGTTTCAGGCTGAATTCTGGCTGTAAGGCCCAAACTGGGCTCCCTCACCTTCTGCAGGGATGAACTCTGCAAGGTGCTACTGCAGGCTCCAGCTGCCCTTCCCCTGAAGCTAGGCCAAGTTATGATATAAGGTGGTGATCCCTCCCACTTACCAACTATGGAGGACTGATGTGTCTTTATTGCAGTTGTTCACTTCTGTTCTATCTTCTGGAGCTCAGTAAAATGGCCTTTATGACCACCTGTGCCTCTGCAGTGTGGATCCAGGTACCTGCACAACCAGGAGGCCTGAGAGCACTGGTGGAGGGGTGGGCAGTGATGCTGCAGAGATGCCATTTGGCTGGGAAGTCATCACGGGTCTGCAGAGAGCTCAGAAATGGCCTTTATGACCACCTGTGCCTCTGCAGTGTGGATCCAGGTACCTGCACAACCAGGAGGCCTGAGAGCACTGGTGGAGGGGTGGGCAGTGATGCTGCAGAGATGCCATTTGGCTGGGAAGTCATCACGGGTCTGCTCTGATGAAGGTTCAGGGTGCTGGAGGTGCGGGAGCACCAAGCCTCAAATAATTCTTAAATTACTAGAAATTGTGATTGCAAAGTTTGAAACTTCTACTTTTAAAATTGAGACACGCTAATCTCACAAACAAAAGAATAATAAATATGTCCATATATATGCAATTAATGTAATTGGCAATAATTTAACAATCCACTCTTAGAAATTATTACTGACATAATCTTCAAAGCATTGTATTATAGTTTACATTTTCAATTTGCCTAAAATATGATATTTAGAGACATTACAAATGGTTGTACAACACAAATTGTTTTTTATTGAAATAATATATTCCTGTTTTGTAGTTATTTGCTTCACAAAACCTATGGACCATGTAACTGGTCCATGAATACCCTTGTGTTGATGAACTTTTCATAGCATCTTTCTTTCCTAAACTGACCATAGCTTACAAACCCCTGAGATCAAAAGATTTGCAAGCAGTTTCATCATCAGTTTTGAGTTGGTGATGGTGTCTGCCTTTTGAGCTGCCCTCCCACAAAGTTGTTCCGGATTTTATTCTCAAAAATTTGTCAGCCTATTTTTCTACCTCCTCCTTTTCTATTGCCTTCCTCTTTTGTTGTCTTCCTCTCAGTTATTTATTTCCTAGCTTGGTTCTTTTTCCAAACTTTTACTTTATTTTCAAAGCTCATCTGTCTTTTCACTATTCTTTCTTTTAATGTGTCATTTCCAGAACTAAGCTCTAATGCAGAATTGTGATTCAGAGAAAAACTACACACACACACACACACACACACACACACACACACACACAAACAACCCAAGGAATTCTTCAATTTTTTTTACAAGAAAGATGCATAAAGATATGAAAGGAAAGGAAAAAACTACTAAACTTCACTGGTACAAAACAGAGAGAAGACAGTTTTCCAAGTGCTGAGAAAAAGTTTTATACCTTAACTTTTGCCTTTTCTGCAATATGATAGAAACTATTAAAGATCTCTGTGGTCTTCCTTCTAGTAAATTGATATGTAATATGGACATTGATTTTCAATTTGTTTATTTATTTATTTATTCACTGGTGCTGGGGATTTAACCCAAGGCCCTGCAAGGATATTTTTTATTTTAAAAACCAAAATACTGCAAGAAGAAAATACAGATTTCCACTCCTAATATATTAAGAAAGTTTTAGTTATTCATTACTAATCAGCTTTGGTTTCTCAAAATTTTTCTTTCCTTTTTAAATAACATTATGATTCCTTTTCCATTGTTAAATAAAATTTTACTCATTAGTTAATACCGCTATTGACAATATTTATTAATTGATGCTATCAAATAATCGAAAAATAAATACCAGTGACAAAAGTATATATATTTTAAACTTTTACTTTGCATCGAATTCCTCTTTATCACAAAAAGAAACAAAAGTGAAAATTAACAGTTGAGTGAATGTTTTTAGGAATTAAATTGTGTATAAAATGACGTAGAAGTGGAAGATGAGAGTTTTGATATCTTCAGAGCTTTTTTTCAGGCTTTCTTTCCCCTTCTGTTAGCAGCTCATTCCTGTTACACTCTCTAAACAGAGGCCCACATCATGACATAGAGGGAGCCACCTGTGAAGCCGTTATTGATCCCATTATTGAGACAAATTTCTATGTGCTTTTCAATTTACTGCTATGAACTGAGATAACCTCAAATTAGAAATTCAATGCCCAATGGACCAAACTGGGCACGCTAACTTCCAGTCAAATAATAGCAGCAACTGCCATGTTTGCAGCAGCTGCTTTTACTGGGTGTTATTTTGAATTCTTACAAAGACTCGGTATGAGAAGTATTATCATCTTCATTGTCCAGTAAGAAAACCGAAATTAAGCAATGGTAAAACATCACAAAATCAATATTTATATCTCATAGGCTTTCTGTTCTGTTTGGTGAATAGTTATGGACCTAAAAAAAATAGCAATTTGTCAATAGTTGGTAAATGTTTTTGTTTTGTTTATTCGGGTAAGAATAGTTTTCATGTGAGACCTCCTCCCTTAAAACATTGTAAGTAACATTAACATATTATCTATGTGCACAGTGTTATAAGTATAGAACTCATTCATCTTGCATAACTGAGACTTTACATTTGTTGATTAGCAGCTCTCCATTTCCTCGTCTCTCTAAAAGCTGGCAACCCTTATGCTACTCTCTACTTCTATGAGTTTCACTATTTTAGATACCAAATCTGAGTGGAATTATGTAATGTTTGTCCTTCTGTAACTGGCTTAATTTACATAATATTCTCAAGCTTTACTCATGACATATATATAAATATACTTATACATATATAAAAGAACCTTTCTTTGAATGCAAAATAATATTTCATTCTAGGTATATACAGTATTTTCTTTGTGCATTTATCTTTTTATGCTCAGTTAGGTCATTTCCACATCTTGGCTCTTTGGAATAATTCTGCAGTGGATGTGGAAATGTAAATCTCCTTGACATCTTGATGTTAATTCCTTTGGGTAAATACCTACTCGTAGGATTTCAGGATCATATTGTAGTTCTATTTTAAATTTTCAGAGAAACCTCCATACTGTTTTCCACCATTTTGAGTCCTCACCAGCAGTGAGTAAAGGTTTCGATTTCTCCATATCCTTGCTGATCCTGGCCTTTTGTTAATTTGATAGAGGCAGCCTTAGCAATGTGAAATGATACCTCATTTTTTTTTTCGGTGTACCCCGGACCCAACTCCGGTCCTTGTACTTGCCAGGCAGGAGTGGTACCACTGAGCTAAATCCCTGGCCCTACCTCATTGTTATTTGGATTTGCATTTCCCTGATGATTAGTGAGGTTGATTATTTTTATAACTTTGTTCACCACCGTGTGTCTTAGGTAGCCTTTCCACTCTGGCAACTGTTTGCTTTGTAGTCTGATGTTGTTCTACCTACCCCTTTTCATTTTGTTGCATAAATATTCTATGTTGATAAATTTTAACACAGATTACATTTAAAATAGTAGTTCACTGGTTGGGTAGGTGTTTCAATTAGCAATAATTGCACCTCGGATAAACCTCACTGGCTAAGATACTGCCACTGCACAAAACTAGGGAAGGTGTTTCTAGAACATAGGTTTGTGTTTATTATACTTTATACTACATCACTAAATTTTTATTTTTTTAAAATCAAAATTTCAAAAATAGACTCCAGGAGTGTAGCTCAGTGGTAGAGCATTTGCTCAGCACGTGAGAGGCCCTGGGTGTCATCTCCAGAATTACTAAAAATAAAATTTTTACAAACTGATCAATAGTAAATTTCTAACAGCTGGTCTATCTGTTAAAATCAGCCATCTGAATAGAAATTCACAAATTCAGCCATTTGTAAAGTTAAAACAAAATTGCATTTTTACCTTTATGTCTTTATAGGTTATAATTTCCTAAGCTTTTCCTTAAAATTTCGAATTTTCTGGTACCCAGATCAGACATATGTCAGAACCTTAGGTAGCATTCGCTGTAGAAGTTACAGATCAAAGACTGGAGGGGTAGCTTTGTGTTAGAGTCCCTTCCTAACATTCTCGGGCCCTGGGTTGAACCCTGAATACCACAGGAAGAATGGGGAGGAGAAGGAGAAAGGAAAGAAAAAAAGAAGGAAGGGAGGGAGGGAGGGACAGCAGCATATTTAATGTTTCCTCATTCACTGAATATAGCACTAGGGGTAACTTGTACTTTATTAATGAGGAACAGAATGGTCAGAAACAGGACTAGAAACTGCATTTCCTGCCTCTTAACAAAGTGCTTCTGACTGCTTCTCCAAAGGCCCTGTAAAGATGTGGGCAAAAAGAAGCACTCGTGGCCTCAGTGCTCCCTGTGAAGCTGCCGAGTTTTCTGGATCCAGGCTCCCCGGCCCGCTTCGGTAGCTGTGCACTTCGTACTCGCGCGGTGCTGCTGCCGCTGGGTTTCAGCCTGTGGAGAGGGTGTAGGTGCAGCAGAACAGTGAATACCTGCACCTGGAAATCAAACATCCACAGGAGGAGCCCCTGCCTGCTGGAACTGCATCCGCCTAACCGCAGGCTGCCAGGCCCAACGCAATCCAGATGTCTCCTCGGGCTCCTCTTCCCCACACAAACTTCCACTATTTTCTTTGACCTTTGGCAACATTTCTAAGATGTTAAAGGGGGAGAAAGAGCCCAGAAAATAGAACTAAGTATGTTTTTTAAAACAGAACAAACACATTACCCATTGAGCTGTAAAAGCTTTTTGTCATTTACTCTTTTAAAGGGTTATCACTTAAAATTTCCAAGAATGTAACGGATTATGGTAGCAAACCCTGGTCAAAGAGTTAACGGCATTTCCTTTTTGGCTTAATTTTTGGATGGACTAAGGCACTTTTTAAGATGTCACAGGGTATCATCCATGATTCCCCAGCTACCTGCCCTGATCCGTTTAAATCATGGTAACTTGTCCATTTATTGCATTTTATATTGAAATCTAGCATATTGCTTGGGGTAGCTCACTAGTAAAAGATCTTGTTCAATCTTTTCTAAATACTTTCTTTCCCCTTAGGCATGTCTTTCAACTCTTTGTGCTTTAATATCTATCTCTCTATATATTTTAGGGAGATAAAAAGATGTCATCTTGTAAACATGTTATTTTCCAATCACTCTGAAGCAGTAATCTTTCAAAATCTCCCATCCCAACTGGCCAAAAAGGAAGGGAGGGGGTTGAGGAGGCAGGAAAATCAGTCCGGGAAGGGAAGAATGGCATAAAACTTAAAATGAGCCAGTAAGCATAAATTCTTAGAATCAGAAAATAATGGTTAATAGTCTTTAAAAAAAAAGAAAAAAAAAAGGAAGAAAGAGGTGAAAAGAAGGGAGGAAGGAAGAGAAACAGGGAGAGAGGGAGAGAGGGACGAAAAGAAGGGAAGGAGAGGGAAAAGATTTTATTGGTCCATGATTATCGTTCACAGTATGTGGACAAGTGCTTAGATTGCAGCAAATTCAGATTAATGGGAGTTGGCAGGTGCTAGTGATTCATTTTCTTTTTATGAGATCTACAAATGTAGCATTTGACATGGAGTTATCAGCTAGTCTGTCTGACTTTTACTCAATAATTCTATTATTTGACTCTTGTTCACATTCGTACCTTATTTGCTCCAGAGGCTTTCCAAGTACTCAGCAGTATAAATGCTTGACTTCTGTGACTTTTGGGTCAGTCAAAGAGCTAAGCAATCTCTCCATATTCTGAAAAAGAAACAGGTTGTTACATTTATGCTGTCAAAAGTCGTTTATCAGTATGAGGGTAAAGAAAATTAAAATCGAAAAGTAAAATAAGTGGCATAAACTCCATTAAAAAAATATATAAGTGGTCATTGTCTTCAAAAGGGCAGTAGCTGGGGAAGTCTTGAGCCAGGCACACAGGGGTTGGATTTCTTCCTCCCTCCTCACCAGCTACACTTTTGATCTCTCCAGTGCTCAATTTCCTCCTTGGTAAAATGGATATTATAATAATTTTTGTGAAATTTGAACCAAGCCAGAGAATATAGAAAAAGAAAATGTTTTGTACTCAGTCAGCCCTTGTTCAATGTGATTTCTCCATGCTGGAAAAAAAAAAAAAAGTTATTTTCATAATATTCCTAGAATTGTTTTAGACGTCAGTTCCTCCAAACTGAGAACTCTGGTCCCAAAAGTGGTCCCAGACACCTCCAGAAACCCACCTCTGCTTGTGGGCTGATTTCAAATTAAAGAGATTTTCCTCTGATCTCTTTCCCTAACTCACTGAACTAGGGAGGTGATAGGAACAATTCAGTCTTCTCTTATTTGTCACAAATTCCCTTTTGTGAAAGTTACCCCCAAAAATACAGAGACAGCAAAGAACCAGAAATGCAGTAAAGCCCTGTGTGACTGGCCCTGAACCCTTCAATTTACAGGTGAAGGCAGTTTAAATTTTCCAGGTAGGTGTCCCTCTTGTCATTAGCTATTACCAGTAAGAATAACTATAATGCCACTCTACCCTCTTTAAAAGAAAAGTATATTAATGGTGACCGTTTCTCAGCTTTTTCCATAGGCTTGAAATTGAAGGGGAAAAATGTTTCATCCCTTTTTTCTCCCTGTCTTAATTTTTTCAGATGCACACAACCCAAAATGAACTCTATCAGTGTTCCTATACTGAAAGAAAAAGGACATGTGTATCCACAATCATAGTATAGGCCACATCAAGAACTCCTGAAATTACTAATATTTACTGAGGTGTCATCCCTTCGTGTGGGAGCTCTCTCGGCAAAGAAAAATGCACAACAGTTGCATCTTTTCTTTCTGCTTCTTTTTGGCAAGCATAATGTAGACCCAAAGAACTCATGCTAGCAATGCTAGCCGGCAGCCTCTCCCTCTACTCAGTGTTGGCCTCTTCCGCTCCCGCCTGCTCACTCCTGCCCCAATTTGTACACAAGCCGTCCCCAACCCCCACCCCTCTCCAGTAGTGTGAAAGGAGAAAAGCCTCCGAGCTTCTGGGCAGTCCATCAGTTTGCTAAGGTTCATTTTCGCTAATCCAGACATCCCGCACAGCAGGGGGAAAACTGCTGTATCTAGTGAAACAAGAGCATGAATAATTAAAACTCTGTTATTAATGAACTTCCAGTCGTTATGTAAATGAAACTGATTTCAAGTCTAATTTGTCAGCCTGGATTCTTTTTCTGTTCTCCCTTTGTCTAGGACAAGAACTCATCATAATGGACTTGATAATAAAACACTAGTAGACATGCTGTGTGCAGCAGCCATCTGAGATGGGGCTTTTAGTGTGGTTAATTGATACAGTTACTCCAGAACAAGTCTATAAGGCATTTTGTATGGGTCTAAGCTTTAAAAGCCGCTCTTTCCCCCTTTGACAGGGCTGCCTATTCTTTGTACATACCTCATTATCATTTACCTTTACATGAGGGGTGGCATATAATTACTGCCTAGTAGTTTCTTTGGCAATATCCATGATGCTCAAAGACAGCAGAATTCAGAAAGGTCCAGGGGAAGGGAAGTCTGTTGTCGCCCAAGAATGACAAATAGCCACCACGGGGAGAAAGAAGAAAAGAAAAGAAAAAAAGAATAGTTGGCTGCTATGTCCGAGTCCCCCACTTCTCCACCGTCGAGTGTCACTCATGCTATTGGTGGCATTGTCCAAGTGGTACACGTGTGTCGGTAATCACGTGTTTCAGTGACATTGTCTAGAGCCACTGTATTGTGGGTAAAATCACTCGCTATGGAGATGACAGCTTCAAATACAGCAATCTGATTTCCTCCAGTTGCAAATATTTTATGCAAGATAAAAGCAATAATTCTTTCAACAGAAAGCTATTCAGCTGTGTCAACTCATTGAGAAGTTACTTGCTGGATTCTCCAGATTTGAATTTTGGGAATGCACCTACATTATTTTTAAGGACGAGTATAAATTAGATATCAAAAATTAATTAGTATTTTAGATACTTGATACACGATTTTTTCTATAAAGCAAAATATAAATGAAATAACTGAAATTATCTCAATTGGAATACATCACAACAGTAAGTAGTTAATTTTGTTCCATATTTAGATGGAGGGAAAAGAGCTTTCCCATTCAGAAGAATTCTGTCTGTTAAGCTGCAGATGCAAATGACATGATTCTTGCTTATCCAGTAGATTTTTCATTATTGGAATCAAAGTATAAAATCATATGAAAAACCGAAGGCTTGTCTAGAATCCCCCAAATGTCAGCACCAAACTATTACCAACTTTTGGTTCTCTCTCTGGGCTTCTACAGTTCCTTTGTAACATTGAAGTCAGACAAGTATTGTTTCACTGCTCTCCTTTGTTCATTTGTACTCTTGCTTGGCGACCCCAGAATAAATTATATCCTTTATCACTTTTGTCCGCAATGAAAAATAGAAATCTAAGCATCGGTCAGAATGATGTAATCAATCCTACAGAGATCCGTTATTAGAGACTCATTTTACACACATTTTCACAAATACATAAATAACACAAATAAGCAAAATTTAAAAGGCAGAATTCTTCCGTAAAAGGCAAAAATGACCACCAACTCATAAGTATTTATAACATGATACATAGGTGAGGAAAACATAGTTCA